GAGGGAATGGCATTAAGTTCCGAGTGCCGGCTTTGTTGCATGTAGGTAGATCAGTGCCAGGAATAAATACTTCATTACATTTTGCTATGGCTGAGCATTTTTCTCGTTATCCAACTTAGGCTTAATTTTTACAACTTGCTGAAACACAGAGAGAGCAGCTCACCTATTGTTAATGCTGCAGCTTGTATTTTTACAAGCTGTGCACATATCCATGAAATCAGCATTTAGAGCAAGAAAGAGCCTTCAGCACCCTACCCACCCACTCACACAGTAACCACCATTCCAACTTCTAACAGCATACATTAGCTTTGCCTGGCCTTATACTTCCATAGAAATGGAATCATGTATGATATAATCTTTGGCACCTATGCTTAATTTTTGAGTCAGTCTAAATCATGGACAACTGAAACCTACCTTCTGCATCATGTTTGGACAGATCTCTTAACATAAGTCTACTTTATACCCACAGAAGTAGATAACCCTAGTTCTGTTTGGTGAGCAGGGGTTGGGGATGTTTACTCTCTGGGCTGAGTCCAAACATTCTACTCACATGTACAAACTTGGCTGCTAGACCTAGCTCACTTTTTTAGCCGAAGGAAAAGTATTTCCATTACACATTCATGCCTTCATCTATACTACCAGCTTCTCTATTCCTGATGACCTTAATGAAACACAGCCCTCTCAGAGAATCCTCAGAACCTAGCATGAGGGCATGAGACAGTGAATAATGCTGGGTACGTAAATGCTAGCTGCATTAGGACCTAACAAATTGTCAGAATATACATAGACCTCTGAGCTATGGTTGGCAAAACTATAGTAGTTAAAACTGAATAGAGCTGACAAGATGGCTCAATAGGTAAAAGGAGCTTGCCTGAATTCCATCCCTGGAGCCCACATGGTTCCAGCACATTCTGTACTTGACACTTGAATAAGCACACCAGTCCTAGGAACTTCAAAGAGAAGGGCAGTATATACTCAGTGACTGAAGTGTGCCTCAAATCAAATAGCTTTAAATGTACTTGTGCCAAGATACTAAGTCTTCAACGTTTTCTACCACACTGGCTGTTGTAACCTGCTTAAACTCCATAGCTCCTCTATTGAGACCTCATAGCATAACTATGGCTCCTCTGTTAACACCTGCTGTAGCCTTTAGCATATCAGAAGCCATTTTGCTTCCAAGTCTCCATTTTGGTAATAAGGTGAAATTAAGTTCAAGTTCTCAGGCCTATGTGCCTGAAACCAAGATAATAATTCAATAGTTCAATACTTGTTGCTTAGAATAAAACAACAGATGATAAATGCATGTTCTCCTTGAGCTAAATATCCAAACATCCTATGTTCCTTACTCCCAGAAAACTGGAAAGCCAAGAGCTCCCCTTCCCTAAATCAGCTTAAAGTGCATCTACCTAGATGCACTTGGAACACAATACACTTGGAACAAAATCAATTGTTTAGCTAGTCAAAATGATGTAATACTGCCTCCCCCCTCTCCCCCCCCCCAATTTCCTTCACCTGGTTACCTGGTTGTTAACCTGGTTACGGTTTTTCATATTGAAAACCTGCCTTAGAAGCAGACCAGCATCATAGCCTGGTTCCTGAGTCCAGATTATGTCCCTGACCAGTCAGTGTTTTTGTTCAGCGTTCAATAAACTTCCATCAATCTGAGTCTGTTATCAGAGTGGTCAGTTTCTTGAACCCATAACATAGGACCCACAAAATATCTTTTCCAAGTGCATTTTATCTTGTCTTTCTAGCTCACATATTCTTGTTGTGTGTATCTGTACTTATTTCACATACAACAACAAAAACAGTGGAAAGCTAATATCCCAAAGTATCTCTCTTGATTCAATTTTACCCTCCACTACCTAACACATTTTCATTTCTCAGAGACTCTCAAATACTATCACCTGCTTTACATTAGAAATTAAAGATCTGATTACCTGCCTTATCACTCCATAACTAACAAATCAACAGTAAATTACATGGTTTTAGAAAATGAGCTAAAAGATCTTCAGAAAGTTTCTTCACTATAAGAAAAATTGTTTTATTAAATAACTAGGAAATCAAAGCTACCCATAAATTTGTGTAATCATAGCTAGTATTCCCTGGTAATAATTACTAAAACTCAATATTTACCAAGATTTTCTAAGCCTCACTGATAGAAATGAAATGATGACAGAAACATGAAGGAGAGTGAGAACATTTGTGAAATACTCAGAAAATGCTTCACAGGTCTGTGCTGTATGGCTGAAACTAACATTCTAAAGAGACAGTACAAAAACGGGTAACATTGCAAACACAGACATGAAAAAATAGTGTATATAGATGTCTTTGGAGAGCCAAGTGACCAAGTAGGATTAAAAATCAAGTGTGGAATCTGGACCCAGGTATAAAATTATTAAGAATCATCATTACTAGGCAGCCCTCAAGATTTGAGTACATCTACAAGTGGTTATATTTCCTTCTATTTACAACTAAGGTGAGATTGCACATAGTCCTCTGTGGTTTTATTTTACATACAAACGAACAGAACTCTGGTTTCATATATCAAGGTTTAAAAATTTATGTAAGCCTTCTACTGAGAGGTAAACTTATTTTCAGTAAGTTAATTCCAACAGATTGCTAAGCCTAAAAAACTAAATAATGGTGATGAGCTCCCTAAAATAACACAGTATTGCCAAAATCTGCATTGGTGGGCACTTGGCCTTTCCCAGATGACACTCTAATGTCAGGGCAGTTTCTTGCTATTTCTATAGAATGAAGCTCAAAGCAATGTGTAATAATTCAAATAAAGAGATAAAAGTGACCTTATACACAGAGTCTTTATGACAGATTTCAATGTGGGGGTTGAAAGAAGCTACGGGATTATTCAGTGGACAAACAAAAGAAAAGCAATTCCATTTAGAAACATAACAAAGGAAGGGCAGATTGGGAAAAAGAAATCTACTTTGAACATTCTATTTCCAATGTCAACAAAAGTTACATGGAAGTATTTAAAATAAGTTGAAAATATTTGTAGACGAAGCTTGATGGAGAGGCCACATTTGTTAACAGATGAAATCGCCTGCAAAGGGAGTTGTAAGAATCCAATTTTGGACTTGGGTCCTAAAGGTTCAATCAAATCCATTAGACAGAACGGAAGTGAAAAGAGCAACACCAAGCCAGCTTGTACACAGATGCTTTATTTGGATGTTAATAGATTTCAACATTGTCTGCAAGATTCTCTTACAATGCAAAGTTTTCTCATATATTAAAAAACTCAATTTAGTCAGTATAATTGCTGTATTAATGTGAAAACCTTACAACAAAATGCAGTACTGGTATGTGTGTAGTCAGTTTCCATGCACGTATTGCTGTTACCTGTATGTCTGGCATCTTCAGAAAACCGAAGAATCCAAATGAACAGTAAAAAAAGATGACTTAAGATGCCTGACATGTTTATGATTACAAATCTTGCAAAAAGCAACAAAGCAGTTAACTGGAGGATTCAACCAACACCAACCCAAATATGTACTATGTCCCATAAGTCCAGGTTTATATACAATATATTAACATTTGGGTTAACTTAATGCTCAAGAAAAATTATGTTTTAAAATATGTAGCATGTCTGAGATATTTTACTTTGGCAACCGGAGACTATTGTATCCAATGCAGCTAAAGGCCACATTTTTAAAAAAGGAATTGTGTGCTATTATTACCCCAAAGTAGCTGAAACAATATAGTATGATTTTTTTTCCACAATCATTAGTTTTACAAAGCAAAATTTCTGTGAGAAGTTCATTAATTAAAAAAAAAAATCAACGTATTTAACATATTTAACATGCTAAGATTCAAATTGTTTTACCTATTTGCTATCAAGAAGGCATAATCTTAGAACCACCATACATATCTTTACTTCTCACTAACATATAGTATGCAAAAACTAGCAATTGGATTTAAAGCTTAAAACCCTTTAGGTCTACTGTTGAAGAACTAGACAATAAAATATTCAGTAGTCCCATTTCTATTAACAGATAGACTTTTTAAAATCTTAAACTGTTTGGTTTGGTTTGCTTCTGAGGCATAGTGGTGTTTTGGTCTTTGTAAGAACCTGCTTGGGAATAGTTGAATCCATTAGTTAACTTGAGAACTTGCCATCATTTGCTTATCTTTCCACACAGTGCAAGTGGTGGTCGCTCTTTCCATCTCTCATAGCAGCAAGCCTATTCTGCTACTTTCTATAGCAGCATACTTCAGGAGTGGAGAGGGAGAGAGTGTGTCAATTATAAATAATTCAAACTACAGTGTACAATTCTATTTGCCTGTCAGTGTTTAGGTTGACAGCACACCATTATATGTCTCAAAAAAATTACATAAAATCTCTACCACATAAGCAAAGACATTCTTTCAAAAAAATAAAATAAAATAAGTGCAAACACCTAAACAGGCAACTGAAGCAACTGTTGTAACCTGGAAACACAAAACATTTATAAAAGGACAAAATATTTGTATAAATAAAGATAATATTTTCTACTTCTGAAACATTGAGTAAATACAATAAACTTCTAAGTGCAGACTGTTTTAGGGAGCAAGGTACCATATTGTTTTTTAAACAAAATGAAAATTTCAAACACATATACAAATCACCAGATTAATTTATATGACTCTCCAATATAATTTAAAAAGAAAATATTAAATTATTATTTAGTACATTTTAGAACTACTTTATAACCAACATGATTTAAAGGATATAGTGCAATATTTAGGTAGATGTGACATACAGTATATTGTATTCTTTGCAGCTATAATATTAACTATTTCATACTTGAAAGTCAAAGTTACTCTTTACTATGTTAGCTGTAATGACAGGGAATAACACTGGCTTCTAAACACCCTGTATGTATGTGTGTGTGTATATATATATATATATATACATATGTGTGTATATATATATATATATATATACACACACACACAAATATCTACATTTAAGCTTTAAAAATGAAAATAAATTATAAAAACAGACATCTTTCCAATTTACAAAGTTTTCCTGCTCCTACATACTGTACAATACATTCAACAAAATTCTCAGCTCTTCTGAGACTTATGAAGAAATACTGACTCTTTACTAGTAAGAAAAAGCCCATTTCAATGTTTTTTTAGTTCAATGAACAAATAAATATGCTTAACACTGTAGTTAATTTCATTGTTTCTAAAAAATACCAAAATTAGTAGTGCAACTTTCTAGCTTCCTTGAGACTCCTTCCCACTGTGTCTCTTTATAAATGTTAGTCTAAGTAAATCAGCACACATACAGAAGTGCTTCATAAAGGGCCTGTGCTTCCTAAATAGACTTTCAGAGGTCACACATACTTATTCATAACAGACTACAGCCTTGAGAAAGTAGCGACATATATCCTGTAATAAAATAATGTGAGAATTTACTTTGGAATACCCATGGACATCCTTATTTCCCCATTTTGTTCTTTTAAAACAAATTTTAAAACTCTCATTTCTTAAATATATAAATAATGAATTTTCCTACCCCTTACTTTAAGCAGCTTATTAGTTTTTTGTCCAATATAGAAAAAATGCGAACCATTTTAGGAATGTATTAAAACCTTTAAAAGAATTGAGACAAATTTCATGGCAACCTAATTTAGCGTAAGACACAGTAAGAGGGTAGGACATTTTCTCAGCTTAGTAACAGTTAGAGTATCAGAGCTCTTGAAGTGCTGCTGGCAGCTGTGTAAGTACTCAGGTATCTTCTCGCTTGTTCAGTCATGATAAGTTGGTCTTCTGTCTTGCCATATACCACTGTTTCCCATTCACAATTTGACTATGAAGAAAATATCAATAGCGATGTGAAAATTAGTAAAACTGACTACCCAAACCACTTCATAATTAGAGTATGTGCACGCATGTGTGTGTGTGCATACATGCCTGTTTGGAACATTCCACACAGAAGTCAAAGGACAACTTTCAGGAGTCAGTCCTCATTCTAACATGTGGCTGCAGAACCAAACTGAGGCCATGAGGATTGGCAGCAAGCACCTTTATCCATTAAGTCATATTGCCAGTCCATATAACTAGACTTTTAAAAATCAATCATTTTGAGTAGGATTCTTGTAATTGCTGTAAAATGTTTTGATAACATTGTATCTTTTCAAATGAAAGGATATCTTTTAAAACACATACTAAAATATTTATGATCAGTTATGTGTAATTATTGTAATTATGCATATTGTTCACTGGCCTATGATGATAGCATAATAGTTTTGTTCCCAACACTGTCCACAAATGAATCATAACAAAGAAAGAAATATTAGCCCCTTTTGCCCCCTACTTTTGCAAAAGTTTTAGGGCTAGGAGCTGGAGATGTAGCTCACTGATAGAGTATTTGTCTAATATATGGGAGGCTCAGGTCTGGTCCCCAGTAACAAGAAAAAAAAAAAAAAAGACTTAAAGGGAAGATGGAAGATGTAATGTCGCAAAACAGAAGTGTTCCCTCCTTATCAAAGAATAAAGATCTCTATGTTATATGTAAGAGTTTTCCTAAGAAGCTCTAAGTTAATTAAACACTGGGAATTCAAAGCATTTTAAATCAACTAAGCACATGCATTATGTCACTCTCTGAAAGCTGTGGCTCATGACAGACAAGTAGCTACTATATCTGATTGCCAAAGAAGTTCTCAAGGAATGCCTGAATGTTAGAGAAACTGCTCTGCAGTCAGTGTGGCATGAAGAACTCTTCCTCTCCAACAGCTCATTCTCTAGGCAAACTCCTAAAATAACAGGAGAAGAATGTCACCAGCCTTCCTTTGCATCTACTTATTGGCCACAAAGGAATAGGAGGAAATTTTCTGTTTTATACCTTCTAATCCACAAAGTTCATTGGGAGCCATTAGACCAACAAAATCATGCTAAAATGCTTCCAATTACTTACCATTTCAGGACAACAAATATGACTATACATTTTTATTTTACAGGAGAAAAAGTGTCAGAAGCAGATTTAAGCATATATATATGTATATGTATACTGATTAAGGAATCACCACAGGGCCAGGCATGGCAGGCATAAGTCTGTGTCCAAAGATTTAGGAAACTGAAGCTGCAGGGCTGTGCATTCAAGGCCAGCCACATAATGAGATGAGATACTACAACAACAACAAAAACAAAAACAAAAACCCAAAACAAAACAAAATAAACAAACAAAAACACCCTAAAAATCTCTGGCTACAACTCCAATTGTATAAATGATATGTGCACTGGTGAATGAATCTCTCTCAAACCAAGGCCTACTTTCAGTGACAAAATAATTTCTATTGTATTTTTCAACTTAAACTTTAAAAGAAATAGTAAAACTAGTGATCAATAAGTTTAAAGTGATTATTGACTAAACAACAACAAAAATCACTAAAGAAACTTATAAATCCATACCTGAAGACTCTTTTCCAATTTGACAGCTTTACAAGGGTTAGGGTTTGGTTTCTTTTTAGTAAGTGTAAATGTTTTGTTGGCTGAATTTATATCTTGTTTTTCAGGAGTCAAGTTGCACCTATTGTCATGTATTTCCAATAATGGTATCATTAATAAAGATGTTGTAAGTATATTTTCTGACTAAGAGAAAAAAGAAAGAGGAAAATAACTAATTCAAAAATAGAGACAAAAGACTACTGAATAAGTGGTAAGAGAAGCCCTGTTCAGCTTCTTCCTAGGAAGCATTTGGCTCTGATGAACTTTCTAGTGCTATAGTGATATTTTGGTAATTCCATAAAATAACAAAATTTAAAGCTTTGTGAACCATTTTTTTACCTCATTTAAAAGGCTAACTTCTCTCAAAATAAAACAAGTTTAGAAAATAATAAATTTTTCATAGGTAATAGGCAAATAATCCTAATCCTCTGAATTAGGCGAAATTATCCTAAATTTTCTGTGACTCTCTTTTAAATGATCTGGTCAAGCAATGCATATGAAGTAAGAACCAGCATGATTTAAAACAGCCATTTAAAAACATGTATGACTACTCTATTTCCCCTTCTGAGTGGTGAGAGAGGGTATGGCAAAGAGAATGAGGTTGGGGGTCAGATGTGGAGAGAGCTGGGGTGAGAGTCGAAAGAGCTGGGAGAGTGGGGAGGGCACCTCTGTGACAAGTGGAGACCTTTTATAGGGTAGGCTCATGGGAGGGTATGGGGGTGACTGTAGCTGAGACTCCTAGCTGCGGGAACATGGAGACTGAAGTGGCCATTTCCTAGCTAGGTAGGACTTTCAGTAGAGGCAGGGTGACACTAACCCACTCAAAACCTTTGAACCAAAATTTACCCTGCCTACAAGATGTTCAGGGATAAAGATGGAGCAGAGATTGAGGGAACGGCCAACTAACAACTGGCCCAACCTGAGACCCACCTGGTGAGAGAGAACCAGTTCATGGCACTATCAAAGATATTCTGCTATGCTTTCAAAAGGAGCCTAGCATAACCATCCTCTGAGAGGCTCCACCAGGAGTGGCTCAAAACAGATGCTAAGACCCACAGTCAAATATTAGGTGGAGCTCAGGGAGTCTTATGGAAGAGTAGGGGTGATGGGGGAGAGGATAGAAGGACCCAGAGGGGACAAGAACTCCTCAAGAAGACCAACAGAGTCAACAAACCTAGGCCCATAGGGGCTTACAAAGACTGAAGCACCAACCAAAGAGCACGTACGAACTGGACCTAGGCCCCCAACACATATGTAACTGATGAGCAGCTTGGTCTTCATGTAGGTTCCCTAGCAAATGGAGCAGGGCTGTCTCTGACATGGATTCTGTTGCCTGCTTTTGAATCACTCTCCCCTAATGGGGCTGCCTTGTCTGGCCTGAGTGGAAGATGCACTTAGTCTTGATGCGACTTGATGTATCAGGGTGGGTTTGCATGGGGGAGAGCACTCCACTTTTCTGAGGAAAAGGGGAGGGGAGGAAGAGGAAAGGGGAGGAAAAGGGGAAGAGGATAGGACTGTCAGAAGAGGAGGGAGGGGGCTGTGATCGGGATGTAAAATGAATAAATAAATTTAATATAAATAAATAAATGAAAATAAAAATATGTATGAATTCTTTACATACCTGCATGTCTGAAATGTCTTCAGTTAGTAGCTGAGTACCTGTTTCTTCTTTGTCCCAGCTCTCTAAGGCTAATGATTTTCTGACTTTCTTCACAGATGCAGAATGCTAAGAAAAATAATTTACAAGGTAAAATTATAGCCAAGTCCCTTGGACATGAAAAATATTCATTAATACTAAAAGAGCTGTCATGAAAAAGCACATCTGCAATCAGAGTTCTCAGAAATTGGAGGCAGGAGGTTTGCAAGCTTGAGGGCAGCAAAAGTTACAAAAAGACCCACCTCTAACTCTGGAAATAAATACATACCTCTTGTTTGCAGCTTCTATAAGCAGGTTCATCTTCCTCTTTGAGGAATATGTCGGTTCCAGTTTCTTCTTTTAAAACTTCTCGAATGTCTTCTTCCAAGAAGGCAAGTGGCTGGGACTAAATTATTTTTTAAAAAGTTTTAAAAGGCAATTGCCAGAAATTCTTTTTTTTTATTTCTCCTATATATAAAAACCAGTCTTGTGGCCTGACAACAAGCTTGACAACCTAAGTTCCATCCCTAGAGCTCATGGTAGAAGCAGGAAATTAAATCCCAAAAGCTGTCCTCAAAATTCTTCAGGCACATCCTGGCATGGGCATACCCACAATTATAATAAATAGTTTGGGTATTTTTTTTAATTTTGTAACTGTTTTTTACACTTTTCCAATATTAAATAAATTATCTATTTGCTATGGATATTTAAATTACTAATCAGTTCATAGCAAAAATAATTACTTAAAAATATTAATGAATCCACCCACTAAAATTATTAAAAATAGAACAAAATTTAAATCATCATTAAAGAAATGAAATTTAAGTCACATTTTTATTTTGATAGCTCATTAAAAAACTACATATGTCTAGAAATTTCTGGTCTTTCTGAGGCATTTTAAAGGTAACAATATTTATGAGAACACAAATAACTAAAACATTTCACACATGTACTAACTTGTGAATTATTGCTACTACAGCTACAAGAATAATAGTAGTAACAAACTAAGCATTCACTATATTGAAACTAGAAACAAGACTCTTTATTTGTACTGTCTTTTTTAGCTTCATAATAAAAACCTGGGGTATATACTTAATAACTTGTACATAGAAGAGAAAACTAACCTTCAAGAAGGTTCCCATTAGTTTCCAAAGCAGCACTATTTAAGTGATTAGATATATCAAAATATTAATTCTACTGCAATGAAACTATTAAACTACTACATACATGTTTTAACATTAAGCACACCACAGACAACTGTTTTCTTCTGGTTAACATGAGAACATATAAACTTAAAATAAGGCAAGTGGATTTTAGCCATGTAGTACAAGATAAGCATAGTATGAGGCATAGACCCAAACAGGAGAAGTAACACAGAGGACCCAAGGAGGATGCATAAATCTCACTCAGAAGGGAGATAAAACAGACAGAAGTATTAGCTGAAGAGAGGGAAGAAGGTAGGAGAGGGGGAGCAGGGAGTTAAGAGGGTAGAAATCAGACCTGGGGAGAGCAAGGGAGAGAGGAGAGAAGGCCTTTAGAGAAAAGAGAAACTGAGGGTGGGGTTATCTACGTGACAAGCTGGAGACCTAAGTCAGGGTAGGCTCCTGCGAGGATATGAGGAGGACTCAAGCAGAGACTCCTAGTAGTAGAGGCCATAGAGACTGAAGAGGACATCCTCTAACTAGACTAGGCTAGCAGAGGGAGGGGAACACCAACCCACCCATAAAACTTCAACCCAAAATTTACCCTATCTACAAGATGTGCAGAGATAAAGATAGAGCAGATAGAGCAGAGATTGAGGGAATACACAACCAATGCCTGGCCCAACCAAAGACCTACCCTATGGGAGAGTGCCAACCCCTGACACTATGAATGATGCTCTGCTAAGCTTGCAAACAAGAGCCTGTCAGAGCTGTCCTCTGAGAGGCTGTACCCAGCAGTGTCTCAAAACAGATGCTGAGACTCACAGCCAAAGATTGGGAGATGCATAGAGAGTCTTGTGGAAAAGTGAGAGGAAAGCGCAAAGGACCTAGAGGTGACAGGAGCTCTACAAGAAGACTACCAGAGCCAACTACCAGGGCTCAGAGAGGCTTGCTAAGACTGAAGCATCAACTGAACCTAGGCCCCCTACAAAGAGGCAGCAGATGGGCAGCTTAGGTTTCATGTGGGAAGTGGGGACTGCATCAAACAGGAATTCACTTGCTAGCTTTTTGATCACTTCCCCCTGGAGAGATTGCCTTGCAGGCCATAGGGGAAGAGGACCAGCTCAGTTCTGAGGCAACTTGATGAGCTGGGGTGGATGGGAAAAGGAGCTCCCCTTTTCTAAGGCACAGGGGAAGAGAGAGGTAGAGAAGAAGGGAGAAAGAGTGGGACTAGGAGGGGAGAAGGGATGGGGCTACAACAAGGATATAAAGTGAATAAAAAATAAATTTAAAAATAAAATAAGGCAAGCAGACAGCTATTTCAAGGCCAAGGAAGATTGACACAACTTCATATTCACAAATTAAAAACTAAAATTTTGTTTCTGTTTCAATGAACACTTTTTTAATACTAAAAAAATCTAAAAGTTAAAAAAAAAAAAGCCAGTTTCTTTTTTCATTAAAACCAGGAAGGTGCTTAAGAATAAAGAGTATACATACCACAATTTTAAGAGGTCCATATTTCTTTTCCTGAGCAGCAAGTGCATTCTTAAAGGGAGTAGGAGTTCTTGGTGTGGTACCCAATATAGATCTTCTAATAGTAGGTGTTCTAAACCTAGTCAATCATTCAGATAGATGTATTGTCATTATGTGAGTTCATGTATGTTACCACAGGCAAAACTATATAAAAGCATAAACCATATTTTAGTATAGACATAGTTTTTAAAGTCTCACAGAGCTATTTAAAATGAGGTTGCCTAAAGTAGTTCATACTTTTTTAAATTTTTATTAATTACTTTATTCACTTTGTATCCTAGCTGTAGCCCCCCTCTCCCATCCCCTCCCAATCCCACCCTCCCTCCCTCTTCTTCTCCTATGCCTCTCCTGCAGTCCAATGATAGTTTATACTCTTAAGTAATAGTTTTAAAAAAGAAAAGAATGACTTAGAAAAAAGTACTAAGAATATTTTGCTTGCAATAAAAATTTTATGCTACATTTAGCCAGTTTTCAGTATTCCACAGGTACAAAACAAGAGGCTGTGACTTTAAAAAACAATAGCAACAAACTTCTAAGTCCTATGGACATAGAGATTATGTGATATCACATTCATTTGAATAAAATGCTAATATATCCTTGGCATTATGCTTCCTGTTTTCCCTAACATAATTATTTAATACAGACTTACCCTACATTTTCTTTTTGATCTTTGGGAGTTGCTTCCTTCTGAAGAGGAGTTGTAATGAGAACTTTTTGCCCACAAATTGGGGTTGATGTAAACGAAGGGTTTTCTATATTAAGTTGTTCATTTCCAGGACATGTGTTAAAAAACTAAAAGGGAAAGAGAATTCAAACAATTTTTGGAACATCAAAATTCCCATATAAATATCAAATTAATAAGACTTCTCTGCTGTTTTAGAAAAAGATTTTTATAATATTACATTTACATTCTACTTCATGGAAATTAAGGTCCATAAAGGCAAGAATTTTCTGTTTTGTTCAGTGCTGCCTTCCACCACTTTGAACAGTTTAGCATATTATAAACATTTAAGAAATAGCTGTCCTATAAATGGTCACTTTATAACAGCACAAAAAATTTAAAACAGTGTACCATCAAAAACAAATCCATACATAGGTGTGGCAACAAATCTCCCAGTTTTGTACAAGAGTATACCTGAAAAAGTTAATTGTGAGCCATTATTGTGTACTTTTTTTCTGAGAGTATCTTGAACTCAGAATAGAATAATAGCCTGGGCATGGTGTGTGCACCAGCAGCCCAACTGCTCAGGAAATACAAGCCCCAGGAAGAGGCTTGCTTTGCTTATTGAAAGTTAACTGGCAAATCTGCCTGTCTAGAAGACAGCACAGATACTTTAAGCAGACAAATTGAGAGTCCACTTTCTAAATTACACATTGTACTAACTGAGACTTAACTTAAATACTATTATGAAGTCCTAATTTACTTTTGTTGCTAGCAGACTAGAAGTAGTAATATAGGAAATGAAAAATGCTTCAAGAGTGCCCCTTTTAACTTCAATCTACTCTAGCTCCTGCCTCCTAATATTTGAATCACCTCACCTAAGATTAGAAATCAAATTCTTTCAGGATAAAATCCAAATGTCTACTTGGTTTCTAGCCTAGAATTTACTTCAGTAAAAAACTACTAATGTACAAAACTCTGGAAATGAAAAAAAACTTATCTTCCTGGGATAATTCAGAACTTTGAAAGCCAGAGGGAGAATAAATATATTATTCACGTTGTAGCCCATGTAAGTTCTATTACCTCAAACATTTTCAGATCAAAGTAGCTGTGTACATGTAATACTTATCTCCCCAAACTTATACTTCCAATAATATTCTAGCATTCTCCATATGTATTTGATCATTAAGCTCCCTACTTCTCTGATAAAACATTTTAACATTTGTGTAATGATTATTGCTGTCACTTGATAAAATCTAGAATCATTTGGGAAGTGGATCTCTGCATGCTTGTAAGTAATGACCTTAATTGGGTTAAATGAGGTGGGGAGAACCCAGACTGAAAGTGGAGAGGCCATTCCTCAAGTAGCACATTCTGGGTGGTCTCAAAAACAGAGCTGAGCAGCATGCATGCATGCATAACTCTCTTCTTCTGGCTGTGGATATTGACATGACCACCCCTCTCAAGTTCCTACCACTGTGACTTCCACTATACTGTCACCTGGAAATGGGGGCTAAAAAAGAACTTACTTAAGTTTCTTTTGTCAGGATATTTTATCATAGCAACAGGAAAGAAAATTAAGATAACTAGAACACTATCATCAAACAGCAGTTGCTGCATTTCAAAACCTTATTCCCTTTGGCTTCCAACGATTAAGAGAGATGCTTTAAGAAAAATGACACACAGCCTGGGGTATAACAAGAGTTCAATAAAAAATACATCTTCTGTTGAGAACATTACTAAAAAGTTAAGCAGGTATTCTTGGACATCCAAACATGGAATTCTTAGAATAAACTGTTGTTTAGATTTCTTCCAAAGAATGTAAAAAAGGAAAATGTAACATGTAAATGAAAATCTTAGAGACTGTATGCAGATAAAGGCTCTTTGTAGCACCATCAGGTGAACAATCAGGGATCAAAGAGTCATACTGAATCTTAATCTGAGCTCTGCATTCGACACCTTTGGACAAGTAAACTATTTTACTTTTAGGGGCCAGTTTCCTGAGGACTCTTATAAAGAAACAGGACTATATGACAAAAACAAACAACAACAACAAAACCTTACCTTTGGGTTCCTGAAATTCTAGGGTACTAATAATGCAGATCCGACCCTTTGTGAGATACATTCTAGTTTATCATTCTCATGTATATGTTTAAACATATCTATTTTTGTGTTAACTAAACAACCAACTGCTTTTAAAGATACTACAATCTAATTTAATTTAGTTGATCAACATTTGCGAACATAAATAAAAGCATTAGTACCTGTGAGGGAGAAAATGGTAGTGTTTTCACTGGTGTGTGTTTTAGTGCTGTGTTACTGCCTTCACTGAATGAACCATCACCAAGCTCATTGCCTAGAGACTGGCCCACTCGTATTCTTTTCTTCTTTCTGAGGATGGTTGGTGGAGTGCTAAACTTGACCACATTTGGGGATGTCAAAGGAATAGTGTCATTGTCTCCACCATTACAACTGTTCTTTTTCCCTTCAAGTACAAGACTGACATTGAACTGGCACTCCATGCCTCCTTCATTATGTTGAATCCGCATTAGCTTAACTGGAGTGGACTTGACAGGAGAGGCAGCAGCATCAGAAAGATCAAAACTGGTAACATCACTCCATGCTACAGGGTCCTAGAAAAAAATTGAATTCTTAACTAAAGTTAGGCTGTGACCTAGTTAAGTATGATCTCAACATAGGATGATAGTTTCTAAAAAGTTATTTACTCATTTTTACCAGTAAAAACAAGCTTTGTCTAAACACCTTTGTTTAATTAAGCATAACCACCTTAGAAAAAAAAATCACATTTTTTTTTATAATACCAATTTGGAATATTCCAAGATAATGTTTCATCTAACGCAGTAGCTAAAATTTCCTGTCAGAATATTTTACATAAAAAGAACAAACTATTTTAGATTATTATTAAAAAGAATAACTTATCATAAAACAATTCTATTTACAGGAAAATACTATGAAACTCTATATAACTATTTGGTAATATGTACAGAAATATATACTTTGATTTAGAAATTCAATTTAGTTAAGTACATAACTGTGATGATTCGACAACAAAACCTTCTATAAATATTACTTGTTATTGGTGATACTGAATATCTAGATGCCCTCTAAATACACAATAACAATGCTTTGAGTAAATAAACTGTCTTACAGTCATATGGTGAAATACTATAAAGCATCTAAAGTTAATGTTTAAAAGTATGGATATAACCTAGAGCCCCTGCTCCAATGTAGCCCATGGTAGCTCAGTAACCAAATGGGTTTCCCTAGTAAGGGGAACAGGAACTATTTCTGACATGAACTCAATGACTGGCTCCTTTACCTCCCCTGCCCTGAGGGAGGAACAGCCTTGCTAGGCCACAGAGGAGGACACGGCAGCTGGTCCTGGAGATACGTGATAAACTAGGGTCAGATGGAAGGGGAGGAGGACCTCTCCTAGCAGTGGATTTGAAAAGGGGCAGGGAGGAGATAAAGGGTAGAATTGGGAGGGAATGAGGAAGGGAGCTACAGCTGGGATACAAAGTAAACAACCTGTGATTAATATAAAAATTTTAAAAAAATATTTCTCAGATCCAGGCATGGTAGCACATGACTTTAACCCCAGCACTCAAAAAGCAGAGGCAGACAGATTTCTGTAAGTTCAAAGCCAACCTAGGCTAAAGCAAGTTCCAGGCCAGTCAGGGATATACAGTGAGACCTTGTTCAAAAATTATATGTATGCCGAGAAATCAAAGACAGGCTCATGATATAAGTAGAAGGTGTGTGTGTGTGTGTGTGTGTGTGTGTGTGTGTGTGTGTGTGTGTGTGTATGTTATATACATCAAATGATCAAGTCTAAATATATAGGGAACTTTAATTTTCCTTTTTAGAGGTTCTCTAGTTTCCAATATTCTAATATGTTTGCGTAATTCATCTAGTAAAGAATAAACTGTCTTTAATTCTAAAAACATCTTTTTAATACATTTTAAAACATTTTAAAAACACCATTTTAAGACATTTGAGAACTTAAACCTTTAAATTTTTTGCCAGAAACCTCTACAAAAAAGATCAAAAGTCAATGTTTAACATTTAAATTGATAAATGTCTATTAATACTAAATTAAGCTTTTAAACATGAGATTACATAATTAATTTCGTAACTGAAACTTACAGATTCTATAAGTTCTAGCGTTTCTGCAAATTCTGGGATGGTCTGTAGAGAAGACAGTACAGCATTTGCTTCTACAGCTAGAAATTTCGTGGGTGAATTCTGCTGAGCAGAAACAGTCTGATTTTCATCCATGCTATAAAACTCAGTAGTGTGTTCCTCAAGATTATTCAATGTGTTAGACATACTATCATCCATGAGGAAACTACCAGACCAGCTAGAAAAGCTTCCAGGTTGCTAAAAGTACAAAAGAAATTTGAGTATTATTTTCCATTCTCAATGTAGTCATGAATTAGATTTTAAATGAAAAATTTCAATAACATACTTCATATCATTTTAGCTAAAAATACACAATACCAAATACAGCCTTTCTTCAATATCAACACACAATTTTTTTCCACTAAACCTCATTCCTTGACTAGATTTCCTTTTCCTAAATAAAATTTAACTATAATAGCACTGTCAATAAAATTAGCACTAACATATACCAAAGACCTAAAACCTGGCCTCATTTTCTTTACAAACTTCATTCCACAATTCCATTCGCAACCTTCCTTCTGGGAGAATATCAAGCTGTAGTATTTTTAACTTCCTGATGAATGATGTTCTTCATTTGGAGAACCTCTTTACACTCTGTTGTTCTCTTTATTTAGAACATTCCCTAACCCACTGTCCACACAAAGTGCTAGTCTTGACTTAAGAGTAGTTTAAATATTAAGAAGTATGCCGTGTGACTGACTATATATTTCTTTATCTGTTGTACTTACAATATTGACCTAATTCATCTAGCTTGCTAATACGTAATCATCCTAAGTGTCAAGACTGAGCTCAAGTAGCACTCAAGAACGTATCCCAACTGTGAATCTGAAGTACATATTTCTCCTGAGTTATTATAAAACTAAATGACTTGTTCTTACTATATTCTAGAATCTCATCTCTGTTCTCACTGTAGATTAAAACTCTGATATCAGGGTCTATACTAGTTTTCTTTCTCTTTAGAAACATAACTCAGGCAATTTACTTATCTTGTGAGCCTAATTTCCCGATGTTATAATAATAAGGAAATACTAAAGTCATAAAGGTAATTTGTAATGTATAAAACACTATTCAATAGAACTTTCTGAAATATGAAAATATTCTATATCTTCAGCAAATCAGAATGGGAGCCAGCAGTTATATGTGCAAACTGTGGTTGGTACACATGAAGAATTTTTAATTTTATTTAAAATTAAACATAATTTTATTTAAAATTAAAAGTAGTAACCATATTCTAAGAACACACTACCTGTTTTAAAGGAATCACTCAATAAATGGTTTCTACTATTAAAAAATCAGGGCTGGAGCAATGGCTCAGTGGATAAGAGTGCTTGCTGCTCTTCCAAAGGACTTGAGGTTCAGTTCACAGCACCCACATGTGGACTCAAAACCGTCTATAACTCCAGTTCCAGACGATTCTTACACCCTCTTCTGACCTCCACGGGCAATGCATGTACATGGTGCAGAGACATACATGCAGGCAAAACACCCACACACATTAATTATTTTTTTTTAAATGTGCTGAAGATTAACACTAATAAAATGTTAAGTTTTATGTTAAAGTAAACACAGTTGCACAACTAGTTCTACCCATTTTAAAGTTTCCTAAAAATAAAATAAAACAATAATTTCATTAATGTAGATACCATTTAATTAACAGTCACATATAAGAAATAGCTAACAAATCATATCCCTTACCCAACAAAAAATTACAAAAACAAAGAGAGAAGCCACTGGGTCCAAGAGAAAAAAACAAAGCAATGCAAATATACAGACCTAATCTTAATCTCTAACACAGTCCATCTACTTTGCCTAATTAATTGAGAATTGTCAAGAATGCACATGAAACAGTTGAGTACAGCATAACAGAATTCGGTAAAATAATGGTTACTATTATCACACAGCTGTTTAATAAAAAATAAATCTGTATGAAGTCTATACTATGGCCTAAAGCAACTTCCCTCTAAAATTTAAAATAGCCTGTTCAGTCACATCTTTAACAGCAAGTTTTAAAAAGAAGCCAGCAATTTTCTCCCTTTTAATATCAAATGTGAATCACTTTAGCTAGTATATTTTTCTTATTAAATGAGACAGTTATGCTGCATCCTGTGTGAAGGTACTGTTACTAGTTTAAAAAATATTCTTTGATAACTTCATTCATGTATATAGTATATTTTGATCATTTTCACCCACCCACCCATTCCATCTCTCTATCCCCCTACACCCTATCAATATGTCCCCAATGCTATTTTTTTTTTTATACCAAAACTGAAGTGGAAAGATAGCTCAGCAGTTAAGAGCAGTGGCTGCACTTCTAAAGAACCTGGGTTTGATTCCCTGCACCTACATGGCAGTTCCAGGGTATCTGACACCTTCTGGCTTCCTCAGGGACCTCATAGATGTGGCACACAGACATACAAGCAGACAAAACACCCATAAGCATAAAATGGAAAAATTAAAATTTTTAAATTTAAAAGTGCTTGAATTTTTTTTATAGTTGTTTTGTTTTTATTTTGAAGCAAGGCCTCAAACATAGGAAAAGGCTTCAACCACTAAGCTACATCCCAGTCCAAAATTTTCCAAAATGGCTTAAACATAACATAATCATCTACAAATAAGGACTCTCTAAGCTTAACTATTTTTCACTTCTTTAACAAAACTAAAATTAACATTAAAAGGTGCATACTTCATCTTCCTATTTACTAATGGTTTATAGTTTCTAAATTTTATAGTTTCTACATTTCTACAGTTTATAGTTTACTACATTTCCTATAGTAAATGTTTCACCTATAATAATTAACATGTCATTTTAATACCCTCTTAAATCATATAATACAAAATCAGTTGTTTTATGGTACTAATTGAAGATGTCAGTTTATTCTACTGGAGTGATACTACCTGAGTTCCTAGTAACTCTCAATAGTTTTGTCCTCTTGTTAAGTCTGAAATTAAGGAAGCAAAGAGCAACTATTTTCATTGCTGAGACTGAACATGCATATTAGACAAATGCTCTACCACTGAGCTGTAGGCCCAGTCTAAAAAAACGTATCCCTAAACATGAAAGACCTCAGATATCACTTTAAACTTCTAAAATTCTCATCTAAGTATAAATATACACCTTTTTTTCCCCTCTAATCCATTTAGCATGGCCTGTTTAATTCTTCTAGAATTTACATCATTTATAAAATTTAACATTCCTAGTTATTCTGACTAACCAAATTGAAGACATCCATATCGACCTACTTCTTTTGAAAGAGTTCTTTAGTGAATACAAAATTTAAATGTTCCTTCTGCTGTTATTACTTTATCCAATTTATTGAAATTATATCCTAAATAGAGTAAAAGGAATTTTTTCAAAGAAAATAAAAGTAATTTTAGAGCTTATTTCTCTACACTTATTACATTTCTCATTTTATACACTTTTTCAATTTAATCAATTATTACACAGAATGTCAGGTTTTTAAAGCCTAATGTAACATATACACAATTTTCACAAAAATACAAATTAAAAATTTTATTCTAAGTCATTTATGATTGAGGAAATATTTTTTAAATATTCTAATATAAAACACTGTAAAACATGCTGGAAGAAAAGCAAATCATAATCAAGCAACTACAAAATTACAAGTTAAATGGAAAAATGTTTGTATTGAAATGTGATGTCACAATGAAAACATTCTACAGCTAATAAAAAAAACATAAAAGCATTTACATGAAGGGCTCTAATAGCCAAATAGCTTATTCCTTACAGATGGAAGCCTTTTTCTTCTAACTTCATTCTCAGCTGACATAAGAAGCAACTCAAGTTCCTTTATTTTTTTTTCCTTATCAGGATCTTCATCAACAAAGGGTTGCTAAAATAAATTAAAGAAAAGAAAAACAGGCACGATCACAACCGCTTTAAAACAGTGTTTTCATTTTTAGTTTCTTCAATGCAACCTTTGATAAAGCCTAATGCTACTAAATCCAAATGCTACTAACCTCTTAATGCTACTAAATCAATGTATCACAATTAATCTGGAATCTAAAATATGTTCAACTTTATTTTAAAATGGAAAAACTCAAATGTACAAAAAAAATGACTATTTTGGGCATGGTAGTACACACCTGTGATTTCCCCTACTCTGGAAACAAAGAGAAAGGATGTTTCAAGTTTTAAGCTATCCAAGGGCTACATGGTAACATCCTATCTCAACAAAGCAAAAGGAAAAAGAAAAAAACACAAGGGTAATAATATAGTTCAGTTAGTCATTTGCTTAGTATGCAAGAAGCCCTGGGCTAGTCTCCAGCAGCACCTAAAATCATGGAGGACAGCACACACCTGTAATCCCACCACTAAGAAGGTGCAAATAGGGCGACTAAAAGTTCAAGGGTATCTTTAGCTACATACCAACTTCAAGGCCAGTGTGGGCTACTTGATATTGTTACAAAAACAAATGAACAAAAGAAAAAAAAAACACATATTGTATTGTGTCAAAAATTCACATCTGGGATATTTTAGATAATTGCATTGTAATGTGTTTTATACAATCTAACAACTTTTTGAATGATTTAAACTACAAAACTACACAAATTGCCATGCTGGTGGTGCTAATCACCTACTTTATATATTTTTCAGATCCATTTATATATTTCATTTAGTTTTATAATACTCAAAGTAAAACAAAGCAAAAAAATCCAGCAATGTTCTTTATCCTGTTTTAATAAAGAAAAGAGTACTATACTATTCAAGATCTAAGTATATGTCAAAAGCTTTTTTTTAAGTGGAGGATGGACACAGCATCTTCCTGTCCCAAACTTTGAAAGTGCTGGGGTCAAGCTCTGTACATGTCACCAGGATTCCTCTGTTTTGCTTTTGGCTTTTGTTTTTTTTGTTGTTTGTTTGTTTGTTTTTCATTTGTTTGACATTTGCTGTTTTTGCTTTTTGGGGTATGTTTTATTCTGTAGCCCTGACTGACCCGATACAGCTTATCTTAAGCTGCAGCAATCCTCCTGCCTCATTTTAAAAACTGGAATTACACATGATGACTTCCTTTGTGTTTTTGTTACAAATTAAACTTACCTGAATAAAGGCAGATGTCTGAACATGTTCAACACAATTGCCATCAGGTGATACATATTGATAACCTGGGATCTAAAACATAAGCATTACTATGTTACAGGTTATACAATATTTTTTTTTAAAATCTGATGCCAAGAAATCTTGTGATAAAATGTCAACATTAAAAAATGGAACACTGGGAAGGGTGGCACATGCCTTTAATGCCAGCACTCAGGAGGTAGAGGCAGACAGATCTCTGTAAAATCTTAGGGCTAGATGGTGAGATCCTGTCTCAAAAACAAAAACAAAACACCTGGAGATTGGATATTGCCTAATAACTTTGAAATTCATAACTACAATAGCTTTAACTTAGTATCATCTGTCCTTAGAATCTACTAATAAAACCCTCAGCGTAGGAAATAACCTACATTTTAGAATTGTATTTTTGTCTTTTGGTTTTGTGAGACAGGGTTTTATTATGTAGCCCAACCAGCCTGGAGCGAACTGTATAGCCAGCGCTGGTCTCAAACTTCTGATCCTCTGCCTCAGCCTTGCCAGTGCTGAAATTACAGGTGTATGTCACCACACCTGGCTCTAAGCCTAGTTGTATCAGCCAATCAGTCTACCAACATTACCTAACATATTTTTAAAAGTCAGCTTTGACAGTCACCCTACTGTCTACAGAAGACTGTAGAATTGTGTCCCTACTCTAGCCACCACCTAATGAAAATCTCTAGGTATAAAGAAAAGAGGGCTTTTTCTGTTACTTATGTCTCAACAGACACTTTGACAATATACTACCATCTGCCTCATTTCTAAAATATTTATAATAAAAACTGTAAAGTTTATTTGAATTTAGTGGGCACTAATAAAATACATGAGAAGTGCTTGTAAGAAATCTGCCAATCAAATACAAATAAGTATAATCTGTCTATTCTCTATAGGAGCCTACCTGTGTCATCATCTAATACAGTCATTACACCTGAGCTCTACCCTAGAGCTCAGCTTTGACAATACTCCATTAGGACCACTTTTCACTCAATTTGCTAATGCCAATAAATTAGAAACTTATTTTTTCTCAAACTTTTCAATGAAAATCTGCCATGGTTCTTCAAACCAATTTATTTTTTCTTCATGTCACACTTCATAAGAAAAATTACAATTTTCTTAATAGCTTAAATTTTAAATGTAGAAATCTTTCTAAATTATTATTTATACATATTGTCTGCATGTGTGCCTGAATGCCAGAGGACGGCACCAGATCTTGTTATAGATGGTGGTGAGCCACTATGTGGTTGCTAGGAACTAAACTCAGGACCTTTGGAAGAACAGCCAGTGCTCTTAACCCCTGAGCCATCTCTCTAGCCCCCGAAACAATTCAGAAAAATTTTAAAAGTATCCTTATCTTTCCAACATTATTTTGGTTGATATTGTCAAACACTCCCTTGGCAATTGGAAGACAAAAAACTTTACACAGTAAATTTTGTAAGAAGCAACAACCTTGCAGTTTATGCTTTTGAAATCTAAAACTCTGAAGAAAATGTTCAAATAAAACATTAAAATTCTTAAGGTCACCGGGTAGTGGTGACCTTTAATCCCAGCACTCAGGAGGCAGAGGCAAGTGGATCTCTGTGAGTTCAAGAGCAGCCTGGTCTACAGATCAAGTTCTAGGACAGCCAAAGATACACAGAGAAACCCTGTCTAAAAAACAGAATAAAATAAATCCCTGAGGTCAAGTGTCAGCAGATAACTACACTATCACCCCATGTCTTCCTATTTATAAATTAAGATGTTTATTTGTAATTAATTATAAATTACTAATTTAAGTGGTTCTTTTAAAAGCATGTCTAAAAAAACTTAGTAATGTTTATAAAAAGCAAAATGAAATAAAACCAGAAGCTCAGGAAGCAAACTTAGCACTGTGCCCAATTTTCTTTTGTTAGATACGACCTGGTCTCAACAGCTTATGTGAAAAGAACTAAGAATTATCTATTATAAATACATAAGAAACAGGCAGACGGAAAAAGGGAAAGCAAGTCTTATGAAGATCCTAAACAAATGTCTTACAGTGGGTAAATGCATGTTGTAAGGGATGAGACAGAGCTCACCTATTTTTAACTTAGGAAACCTCTAATGAATTGTCTGAAGGAAGGCTGAAATCACCCAAGTAAAGTGCAAAGTGGAACAAGATCAAAGATCAAATATTTACTGTTTCCCTCCAAAAAATTTAAATGATTTTTTTTACTATTTCTCCTTTAAAATACGCTATACACGCCCGTGAGGTAGGCAATACTACAATAACACAGAACAATGTTTGAGGAGAAACTACAGTAGATGTTAAAGTACATCTTTATGTCCACTGCACAATAACTGCCGAGAACTAAAGAGTACTGCTATATGCACCTACTGCATTTTTTAATGTGAAAATCACATATAAAAGGAAGCTTTTAAATAAAATTTATACTAAGATATGTCAAAATTATGTCTCACTTTTTCAGTTTGGAAATTTAAATGTCTGTGTCACTGCCTGATACAAATTTTACTTGTCCTAAAAACCAAGAACCTTTCCCAAATAGCAACTAAAGAAACTGTTTTTTAAATAAGAAAGATATTAAAAATATGTGCCTGAACAGGTATGTAAAACTGATTCTGGGTTTGCAAATGGTCCATAGTCGCACAAGGTTTGTGTTGAAGTTTTGATGAAGTTCGCTCTGATTTTATTCCATCTTGTAAGTAGCCCTCCTGCTCCACTTTTCTTCGCATCGTAGAATTCCAATGATTTTTGATAGAATTATCAGTCCTAAGAAATCAAAGTACATAATTTTAAAAGGAAAGGAATTCCACAAATTTTAACACTATCTAACTTGCACAAAATATATAAAGCATATTTTTACAACTGATGAAATTAAGTACTTGGAAGGTCCCTGGTGTCATAGAACTTAAATTCTCACTGAAAGCATGGCAACAAGGAAGAAAGACCACAAATCACGAAATAAATAAGAAAGTTATCATTGCAATGTAGATAACTAAAATAGGATGGGAAGTGAGTAAATGGGGTAATTTTGGTTAGGTGGCCCAGGAAGACCTCTAGTGAGATGAAAGTGAAGCCAAGATCTGAATGATGACAATGAATTAGCAGCACAAGAACAGAAAGAAAAAAAAAAAAAAGTCAGGTATAGGATCATCAGCACCAAGTCTCAGTACCTGGGCGGTTAAGGTAGCAGGATGGGGGAATTCAAGGCTAGCCTGGACAACATGTTAAGAACCTGTCTCAAAATCAAAACAGGAGAAAGAGCCTTCTACATAAAAGGCATACCAAGTACAAAGGCCTCACACCAGGAAAACAAAGAATCATCAAAAAAAAAAAACCAATGTGTAGAGATGGATATATAGCTCAGAGGTAAGGTGCTTGTCTAGTGGTCTGTCATGAGTAAGGTCCTGGGTTCAATCCAAGAAGTCCAAGAAGGAAGGAAGGGAGGAAGGGAGAAGGAAGACAGGGAGGGAGGGAGGGAGGGAGGGAG